ATATGTTGACAAACATTAACAGCTTAAATACTTAAAAGACACCTATATCCCAAAATTTGTGAAGTAAAATAGCTGGTAAGTGGTTTACATTGCATGACTTTAGATGGCGCTGAATTATTCTGTGTGTGTGTAATGTTTCTAGTTCTTTATTCGGTATATATATATATATATATTGTTAGTACTTTATTATTGCTTTTCTTATTTCATATTTTTATAATTCCAAGTTTTTCTTCACGTTTCCAAACTAGTTGCCTAAATCGGTTTTGTCTTAGCCTCCTTGTCGTATAAAGTGGAGTTTAATTTCTTCAAGGCATAAGTTATAACACATAAATTATATAAATAATATATATATTGAGATGGTAGCCATTGATTTTGTACTAAACAACATAAGTCATATCTTTAATCTGTTTACGACAGAGCGAGTCAAATTTCATCCGCTGTGGATGTGAAATGCTACTGTTTCCTATTCCCTTTTTTAATATAAAAATGTTAATTAAAATATTCTGCACACACTGCGCATGTAGTCTGAACATGGAATTTAAGTCAAGATAGTTAGTAAGTTCCTCTCGCCCTAGTTGCCTACTGAACTGGCCCATTCAATTAGGATGTCATAATCATGCAATTTCTCGTGGGTGTGTTTCTAGTATAGTAGAACATACTATGCAGAAACAGATAGTGATCGTATCCACTGGCTTGCCAGGTATTACTTTGAGGTTACACCTTTCCTTATTTTTCGATGCGAATGACCAACAGTCACAGGTGTAGTGTCTACACACTGAGGAGAATGACAGTATTATTCCCCCTATATAATGTAATGTTTTCTTAGCCTGGGACAAATTTAGATACAAATATAAATTTCTGATCTAGATTTGCAGATTAAAACAGATTCAGATACACTAGAGACATCTCCATTAAAGACGCAACAAAACATTGCTTCATCGTGTTTTACATTTAATCTCTTTGCTTTAAACTCGTCAGAGAATTCACTCCAGTGTAGATTCTTTACCTAAACCCCCTGTTATTCAGCTTATCATATCTGATTATTACTAAAGGGATACAGGTTCGCCTGAGAATACCACAGAGTTAGTAAGTAGAAGAAACTTTGATGCTGTGATTTGATATTATTGAGTTTTCTGTTTTCCTCCAGATGAATGTATATGTCTATACTCTTCTGAACACTTGTATTATCGAGTTGAAACTTTTCTCTTAATGAGATTTTCTAAGAGAAAGAGTTAACCACTAAGGATAGATGTACCAGTCGGTTGTATTGCAAATCAGTGATGTTTTAAGAAAGTTTCACATAGTATAGTAACGTCATTAACTTTTCTTAGGCTCAACTTGTTTGTTTTTCAGGAAGTAACCGTGGTTGAAAAACAGGCCCTTTCTGAACTTAGCACCAACACTACAGAACAGAACGCTACCACAAGCACAAAAGTAGTTAAACTGCAAGACGGAGTCAACTATATAGGTAAACCAATTGCTGTAAAATAATTCCCCACAAAGGATGAGTGGATAAAGTTCAGTGTGGGAAACGAGAGTACTACAATTAAAAGTCTTCTTTTACTGCTGCTACGTCATGATTATAACATTTATTCTATGTACTTATAGGTTGATTAAGGGTTTATGGGTGAGTAAATAAGTGTTAGAGCTTTATAAGTGAGTATTGTAGTCGAATATGTTTTTGGTTTGATTTTTTATTCTGCTTATCCAGGTGTTCCCAGAGAATGCACGATTCAATGATGTATCTCAATTTTCTTATTAGCACCTACAGTTGAACTGGTAAAACCGGAACTTTCTTATACACGCCCCCCAGTTGCACAGCGGTATGTCTGCGGACTTACAACGCTAGGATCCGGGTTTCGATACCCGTGGTGGGCAGAGCACAGAGAGCCTATTGTGTAGCTTTGTGCTTAATTACAAACAAACAAAGTCTTATACACAATAACAAACAATAACTCTGTACTGTTTTAAATAACTAATAATAAAAAGCTGTATATTTTAAAGTTTTGAGGATAGTAGAGAGCAGATATATATATCTGTATCAGTGATTAAAGGGGTATAAAATTGGTAATTGGATCATGTGCCGTCAACTGAGGGTGTTTCTATGGAAAATCTTGCTCACTTTGTATGTATTTCGTGAGTAGCATATTTAATATTCTCTAACTAAACAAGAATATGGGTATTTTTAAAAGTTGCCCTTATAAGTGCGAAGCAAATCTCAACGGAATCCAATTGCAGAGCCTTCCAGTGAATATCGGCAAGTATGAAGGCTTATAACGCTAAAAACCGGGTTTCGATATAACCGTGGTGGACACAGCAAAGGTAGTCCATTTTTAGTATCATGCTTAACTACAAGGAAACAAACCAATCGCAAAACTTTTCAATTTTAACCAACAGGTAAAATATAACATTATCTGTCTATCACGTTCAGTTGTCATTCACCCAAAAAATTTCATCTGCTTACTTTTCAATACTAATGGTTTTATAACTTAGTGACATGTAGTAAATGGTTCTATCAGAGAATTAGTTGGCTATTATTCTAATTACTTAATACGTGTCATCTTAATTTTAAACCAGAATTAGGTGACTGCTATTGTGTAATATTCGATAACTTCTTAACTCAGGTCTCCTGGTGTTCAGTGTGGTGTTTGGCTGTGCTATGGCGTCTCTAGGCGACAAGGTGGTACTGCTGAGGCAAGTCATTGTGCAGGTCAATGCTGTCATCATGAAGATTCTTCAATTCTTACTTTGGTATGACTTATTTGTTTATTAAAAAAATTGATTCGTACACGCATCCGTGCAGCCACATCTTTGTAACGTATCATCCCTTCACAGTTAACACCCGCTGATGGAGACAAGTAACTAACTGAAGATATTTCATTATATGTTATGAGTTAATAACTGAAATAAGTCCATTTCAGGAGTCTGTTGAAAGTATTGTTGTAGATTTAAGACATCTTGTCTTGTAAATGGTCAGATTTCTCCTTTATCAATTAACTCCGAGCGTTTTCCATAGTTTTCAATATTTTACTTTAAATAAAACACGACATCATTTGAAAGCCATTTCTACTTCAGACATTAGGAGGAAGTGTGAGTTTCTGTTGAATACGTTTGAGAAACAACGTAACGTTAAGAAAATTAAACAACAGCTTAAACAAACTTTTTACTGGTCATAAATGAATCTTTTTAGCAATCGAGAAATAATTTGATCTTTATTAAAACATAATTCAATACAGAACATTTAATTATGATTTTAGAGATAATATCTGACTTTAAACTATTTTTGTGCCAGATTATTTCATGTTGTGTGCAATACGTATAACTAAAATAGAAGTTTAGCCAAAAAACTAGCTGTACCTTAAATACTGTATCTTATCCGTGATATGCAAGGTGATAATTGTTGCGGTAACTTACACTATGTGTTTAAAAACGGTGTCTTAATACAAATCTAGGATTTTGATTATCGGAATGTTCTTCTGGATGTGTGAAGAAGGTTTGAAAACTCCATCTGTGACTGAGATGTTCCAGAACATAGGGTTGTACCTAGTGACTGTTTTTACTGGTTATGCCATCCATCAGTTGTTCCTTCTTCCTGCACTTTACCTTATCATCGTCAGGAAAAATCCCCTAAAATTCTTCGTTAATATTTTGCCCGTGTTTTTTACAGCTATTGGAACTTCATCAAGGTAATTATATACCATTAATTTCTCTTGAAATAACCAAATCTCCCTTAGTTATACAATTTATAACGGTCTTACACGGGCTTATCTTTATTTGTTTCTTTGAATTGAGCTACAGAGTGTAAGGCGTTACGTTTGTTTTGAAACATGACTAAACCTCAAAGAAGAAGAATATTTCACTCCTGTGGAGAGACAGCGGACGAATGGGAGACGACAATTATAACAGGCTGTGAATTTGTTGAATGTTTGATGTTAGCGTATTTATCTGTCTTTGTATGTACGTAGATTGGTTTTAAAACATCCGATTATTTATTGTAAAATAATCATAGTTTTTACCTTAATGGTAGTGCTGCCACACTTCCAGTTACTATGCGGACTATGGAAGAACAAAATAAGGCTCATCCCTGCGTCACACGGTTTGTTCTTCCCCTTGGGATGATTGTCCACATGGGAGGAGGATGCATAGATCTTACAATCCAGGTTCTTTTCATCTCTCAGGTAATGGCTATTCATCTCGGAGCTGGAGCCTTGGTGATTTTAAGGTATGCATATCATTTGTGTTCAGATTGTTTTTTTATCGTAATAACCCATAATTTGACAGCTAGTTTGATTTTCTCTTGACTTTGGATTAGAATTTAATTTATAAAGAGCATACATTAAAACAAAGGTTAAGAAATAGTGATGCTATTAGCTTATATATATACAAGTAATGACACAACTACAGATACGTTTACAATCAGGGCACTTTCTATGCACTTTCATTACGTAGCTATCCGTATAGCTATGTAAGCGATGCAACTTGGCCTCTTTTTGATCTTTTACATATATTAATATTTTTTGCTTGGAAAGCTAGATTTTTTTTTGAAAGACTGTGGCCACCTTGCTGTAAAAGATGTTGATTTTCCATTATCATATTTGTTGAGTCTTTAAAACTGAAGCTGAAATTTTAATGTCATTTATCCAATTATCATTCCTATATATATTTATATAAATAAATTGCCCCTATACTTCAGTTTAAGATGGAGGGCTTACAATGCTAAAGCTCGATGATTTAATCTATACAGTGGCACGCGTGGTACAGATAGCTAATTGTGCAGCTTTGCGTGTATTTCTGTATGCATGAATGTATACATGTAGTATATACACTACCCTCACAATAATCAAAATAACTAAAGGACAAAGAAAGGAAACTCCTGACGAATGAAAAGCCAGTAAAACAGAGATGGAACAGTACTGTGAGGATCTATTAATACTTAGCAGGCCCAGTACAGAATGTCAGTAAAGAGGAGGATAAAGAAGCAATCAGAAAAATGAAGATAGCAGGGCGGGAGGACTACCAAAGATTGTGATTGAGATGGTCAAGGCACTAGAAAATGATGAAGTTGAGTATGTATTGACTCTGTTGAAGAATGTCTTGAGGGAAGAGCAGATACTCGCAGAATGGAGAGAGAGCGAAAGAGAACAAGCAGAAATTATATTATCTTCAGTGTGAAAGCTATAGAGGAATAAAACTGGTGGAGCAGCTGCTGAAAGTGAAAGAAAAAGTACGGAAAAAGGAATAAGGAAAAAATATAAACATCGACCGAAGAAAAAAAATAGACACAGTCGTCATCCTGCAAGAGTTTCAGAAGTACCTTGAAGAAAACAAGAAGTTATACTGTGCATTTGTAGATTTGGAGAAACAGGGTACCACGAGAATTAGTGTATTGGCGCCTCTGAAAGAGAAGAATGTCCAGAAAGCAGATCAGACTATTGAGACCCACTTATGAAGGACAAACAACGATCGTAAAGACCGTATATGGAGAAGCAGACAAATTTGAAATAAACACTGGACTGCACCAAGATTCAGCCACTAGCCTCCTTCTGTTCGTCATTTTCACCGATGTCTTAAGTGAGGAGTGCCGTAAGGGACTCCTATGGGAGCTAGTGTTCGCCGACGACCTTGTCCTAACAGCTGAAAGTGAGCAGAAGTTACGAACATAAGTGAAAGTGTGGCAGAAGAGTTTGGAGAGAAGAGGCTTAAAAGTGAATACCAGAAGAACGGTAATCATGGTCAGTGTAAAAGGTAGGAAGAAGATTAAGATCACAGATGTAAACGAGATCTCGCTGGAACAGGTAGAAGACATTAAACATGTCGGAAGTACAATCCAAAGTGGAGGAAGAAGTGAGAACGTTTTTAGAGTTGGAGGAAATAGAAGGGCACTAAAAGCCAAAGTACATAAGACCGTGATTAGACTGATGCTCCTCTACGGAGCCGAGACCTGGATTTTGAAGAAGAAAGAAGAATGCTTGTTGATAAGAGCAGAAAAGAGAATGCTGAGATGGCTGTTTGGAGTGTCGCTGAATGAGAATAGAACGAATAATGAATGAATTGGCAGGTATCTGTGGAATAAAGGCAAGAGAACCGAGGCTGGGGTGGCTCGGTCACGTGAAGAGAAGAGAAGAAGAAGAACAAGCAATAAGGAGAGCATTACAGCTGCTAGCAGCCGGAAAAAGAAGACAGAAAAGGCTAGTAAAGCGTTGAAAAGATGGAATTAAAGAAGACATGATGAAGAAGCAGAAGACTTAGCAATGAATAAAAAGGATTGGAGGAGGTCAACACGTGTGGAAGATAGTGACATCTGCTAAAGGGAAAAGCCGAAATAGAAGAAGTATATACACCACCCACACACTGTATTAATACTACTATTGGAACCTCACACTTTACAAAAAAGAGATGCTGTGTATTACCTGAGAGATATTATTTTAATAGTTATTGAATTCTTTCACGATCCTTTGTAAAGTTGCCAATGGATGATTGACGAGAAATAAATGATGTTATTCATAAACACTTGTTAAGTATTGATCATTATGTAATTTTCTTTGCGTTTATAAATGGACTTAACTCTGTAATAAAGGGTTTTACGATACCTAATTTTTGGTTTTTATGAAATGCGAATAAATCAACAAATCAGCACATTTTTCCTTCTGGACGCTTCTTTAACCAAGACGTTTCAAGCATGAACGTAAACAGTTAAAAATGGTAGGGATCTACATAGATCAATCACTTTATTAGACATAATTGTAAGGTAAAGTTTATTTAGTTAGTCATGGAAATATCACAAAACTCTGGATTACAGAATCGTTTACGTGTATTATCTACGTACGGAAACTGGAATAGAAGAGAAAGAGATGAGGTCATTAGCTCATTTTTTTTTTCTATTCTGGTTATGAAGACTAAAATAAAATATCAGAGCTGCGAGTCCAAACACTCCTCATGATTCACAGAGGTCCCGATGTACCGATCAAGATCTTCATTTATCCTCAATTACAAATAACTATTCCAAATGGAGTACATACAAACAAAACCGTCCGTGATACCTGAGCAAGTAACACAAGTTTTGTTTTGCAAGAAAATTTGGTGCTAGCTAGATCCGGGTTCACTTAACCCTGAAACCCCACTTCTATACCTTCATAGTGCCTGGGTGAACTTCCAGGTGCAATTTAGTCCCCTCTTGATAGGAGGCTACACTATGTGGATAGGGACACACATCCTCTGAACCGCTCGAGCCCATCTGCTAATTATAGTCCTGCTAGCTCCAAAACTGTGGGAGAAGTTCGCGAACAAACAAACACACAATTTGAATTAATACAGAAAATTAGTCAGAAGTGCATTTGAACCTATGATACTAAAACTCTTAATATGACCATAATTTGTATATCAATAAAGGCTATCTAAAGTTGCTGAAAACTAATAGATTAGTTAATGTTTGGTATGGAAAATCACTATGTGTTGTGTTATCATTGTGTAAGTCTTTTAAAGTAATCTTACGTGATTCCTGAACTTCACTAATGCAGGGGCTGGAACCCGGTTCCCGGATTTATGTAGCCTTGAAAACAATATAGGCTATAATTTATTATAGAATATGTAAAAAGCAGCTTGTGAAATTATGGATCAGGATAGAGCAGGAATGTCTGATAAAACGCAATTAAAGAAAACTTTATTTAAAATATCAATGACAACTGAATTTGAAAAGCTGTGTTCTTCATTTATGATTATACTATTATTATTTATTAAAATATGATGTTTAGAATATGTAGTTCTGTATATAAAAGCCCCCCCAGTGGCACAGCGGTATGTCTGCGGACTTACAACGCTAGAAACCGGGTTTCGATGCCCGTGATGGGCAGAGCACAGATAGTTCATTGTGTAGCTTTGTGCATAACTACAAACAAATAAACTGTATATAAAAATTCATGCCACCTATTTCTTTTCTTTTTTTTTGGTCTAGTACAAAACTTTCTTACTAATCTATTTAATGTAAGGGATTATGCAAGAAAAACCGAAAGTAGAAAAAACAAAAAATACGACCCACACTAACCAAAACTGCAGTTAGAAAATATATACAAAAAAAAGTAGGGAAAGAGCTGATGAACCGATATTTCAGTAAGTGTAGTAGTTTTAGTTCCTATAAACACCCATACTCATTTCTTTTTGCTGACGCCCACTTTTGTAGTGAGTATGTTTCGAGGGCGTACGAGTTGTTAATATGTGTACTTGGAGTGTCGCGTATAAATTATACATACTTTCATTGTAAATTAGGGCGCTCGACTCGCAATCTGCGGGTTCGAATCCCCGTCACACCAAACATGCTCGCCCTTTCAGCCGTGG